AAGAAAAAAAAAATATGTCGAAATTAATTTATTATCGGTAGCAATGTCTACCAGACCGCCTTGTTTCTTAATTTATGATTTATTATGGCGGTTTATTTAAAGCTTTGGGTCGTCGCATCATTTTTAGAAGCTACTCCGAACACTTAAGTTTGAAAATATTTCGGGAGACATAATTTCGAATCTTTGCAGATGAGCAATATCGCGTAAATGGCTTAAGGATCTGAACTTTAGCTAAGATTCGTTTACACACTACCGTTGATATTGCCGACAATATTGAGTCCTTATTTAGAAAATACTTGGTTTAATTTCATTAATTGAATTTATTCGAGGACGAATAAAGGTTAAGTGTGAGGAGTTTGATAACTCTTGATTTTGCCATATTTTATATCTTATATTTATTTAATTATTTATTTATTTATGTCAAATTTTGATATCATTTATGTTAATTTATTCTAATAATTGTATTAATTTCATATTGTTTGTATAATATTAATTTATTAGTTTTTAAGTGCAATTTATAATTATTTTGGTGTATAAATTAAATTAATTGATGTGTTTCTTGAATTATATTTTTTGGCATTATTTATGTGCTATTTAAGTATTTAATTTTAACTGAATTAATTTTATTTAATAAGTATTATTTATTTAAAGAAATATTTATAAGATGTTCATTATTTATATAGGTGAAATAATGCTTGAAAACTGATGTGGGAGCCCAAAACTGGCCTTAAAAAGTGAAAAAAATGGCTTCAGAAGCGAAAAAATAGTCACCGGCGTGAAAGTCAACAAAAGTCAACGGTCAACGCCAGAAAGTCAACGCGCGAAGTCAAAGTCAACCGAGCACGGAAGACAAGCGACGGCCGCACGGAAGGCAAGCGACGGCCGCGCGGAAGACAAGCGACGGCCGCACGGAAGACAAGCGACGGCCGCACGGAAGGCAAGCGACGGCCGCGCGGAAGACAAGCGGCGGCTACATAGGAGTGCGCAAGCGCGGAAGGCAAGCGAGCGCGGAAGGCGAGCGGCGGCTGTATTTATGAGCGCGGAAGGCAAGCGAGCGCGGAAAGCGAAGCGGCGGCTAACACGGAATTCAAGCGGCGGCTGACACGAAAATATGAGCGGAGCGGAAAGCCATACGTGGAAGTGAGCGAAGCGGCGGCTGCATTAATTCTCGCTGCATTTATTGCCGCTGGTCAGCAGTGCATTTACTGCGCCGCCACAATAATTCCTGCACAGAATTCTGCTGCATTTATGTCTCCTGCACCCTCAGCTTCTGCATTTACTACACTCTCCTAGCTCCCTTAATTAAAATCCTGCACTACTTTTTAGCCAATTTTTGGCTATTTTTGTGTAATTTTTATTCTAGAACCTTATAGAAAATAGGTAGTTATTAGTAGTTATATTAGTAGCTATTTTTAGAGTTAGTTATTTATGGTTATTTTTAGAGGTAGTTAGTAGTTATTTTTAGAAGTAGTTATTTATTGGCGGTTGTAACCGCCAAGCTTCTAGAAGTTTTTCCCCCTATAAATGTCCCCTCTAATTGTACCATATATATATAGACCATAGATAGATATAGATACACCATAGATATATATATACACACCATATATACACAATAATATACATTCCATTTTCTCCATTTTCTTTTCTTCCGTATTTTTATCTAGTTTAATAATACGAGATTTTCGGTTTTGTGTCGCGAGCAAACTGATTTTCTCCCCCTTTTTCTTTTAAGTTCAGCATATTATTTTAGCTAGTAAAATTCCTATCATATTTCTCCACCTCACCTTCACCCAAAAATTCCATGTTCGATTTGAATTGTTCAAGTTGGATTTCGACAAGGTTGCGGAAGGGCGACAGAAGAATCGACTATTTCAGCCCTGTTATGCGCCAAAAGCGGTTTCCGGGTAGTTCAACGTAGCTAAGTACGCGGGAGCCTTGTCGACCTGCTTAGTTGCTGTTCTGAATTCGATTTTGATTAAAGAGAGGTAATAAAAGGGGTAGAGCCACTAGCGGAACGGTTGGAAGAATAATTCATGGGGCATAGGCGGGGGTCTATTGGGTCACAGAGATTCCTAGTGACAGTAGGGTTTCTTGCTTATAATGTTCTTCGCCGGGTGTCGCTGAAGCCTCGTTGTAAATCCCCCAAGATCAAGTACCAACCGAGTCGATAATCAGCTTAAGCGAGCAAATGCGATCACATTCATTTCTCCGAGCCGCCCCGCAATTATACATATATTTTCCGCTATCACGCTATCGTCATCCCGCTCATTTCATCCATGGAAATCTAGTCATTAAGGAACGCAAAAGTCAGACACAAACGCCTCGCTTCATCCCTTTCGAGATACGTATATTTTATTGTTTTTTAGTTAGATTTAATTCCTGCAATTGATCTTTTCAGTTTCTTCGATTGCATTAACTCATTGCACTTTTTCTAATTAAATATAGGATATTCGCATATTCCCTGAGTTCGACCCGGACACTCACCGGTTAAAGAGATTTTTTATTTTTGACGAACTTTTTGGAGTTACTACACGAACACGCACGACACTATTTTCATATATCATTTTTTTGTATCTTAAAAGATATTTTAAAAACTCTCCAAAAATCTTCGATCAAATATAATTCTGCAATGTTTAAAATAACATCACAGCTGCACCACTATGGAAAAAATATATCTGAATCTGATATGATGAAGAAAACTTTCTCCACTTTTCATGCCTCTAACATGGTTTTGCAGCAGCAGTATCGCGAAAAAGGCTTCCAGAAATATTCTGAGCTGATCACCTGTGTTTTGTTGGCCGAACAAAATAATGAATTGCTGTTGAAAAATCACGAATCTCAGCCGAAAGGTGCAAATCCATTTCCAGAGGCAAATGCAATACAACCGGAAAATCCGGTGCGTGTCTGTGGGCAGGTCAGAAATCAAAGAATTGATCGCGATCGAAATCAGAATCGCAGACGGGGCCGGGCAAACATATACAGTCACAATAATTATCAAAATAGGCCCCGATATGTGCCAAATCGGCGTTATAATGACAAAAGGCCGTACAGACCTCAACAGAGGTTTAACACCGGGAGAAACAGAAACAATGACGAGAATGCACCCGGTGTGGAATCAAAGGCCATTGGGCCCATGCTTTTCGAACAGCCAGTCACTTGGCTGAACTGTATCAGGCCTCAAAAGAAAGGCAGGGAAGAGTTGTTGCTGAAACAAACCACGCTGCCCATGATGACATATTTGACGATGTGATGAATGAAAATATCACACATCTGGATGCCGATGATCTGCTTGACATAGCTGATGATGTTAAATGATAAAATATTGGTGTATCTCTTTTGTTATTTTGATGCTTTCTGCCCCTCTTTTTGTATTACCCCTTATAATATAAGTCTATTTTGATTATGTTACTAATACATGTCTTTTATTATTTTTACCTTCTTGTAAAGATATGGATGCCAAATATTTTGAAGCCGATGACAACATCTGCCTTATCGGCAGTGCTACGACTCACAACATTCTGAAAAACAAATGTTATTTCTCCCACCTGAATATGAGAAAGACCACTATTGTTACTATCAGTGAGGCATAAAAAATGATTGAAGGCTCAGGAAAAACTATTGTATTTCTCCCAAAATGGACAAAAATGGCAATTGAAAACGCCTTGTTCTCGAGCAAAGCTCGAAAGAATTTACTGAGCTTCAAGTGATATTCGGAAAAATGAGTATCACATTGAAACATTGAATGAGGCAGAAAATGAGTATCTCTTGATAACTCAGATTGTGAATAGCAAAAGAATTGTGAAAGAAAAATTGCCATCATTTTCTTATGGCTTATATTATTCAAAAATCAGTGCTATTGAAACATATCACATAGTAGACTAAATGGCAACTAGCGAATTTAAAACTTGGCACGATCGACTTGGGCATCCTAGAAATGTAATGCTGAGGCGAATTATTGAAAATTCAAATGGCCACTCATTGAAAAAGAAAAATATTTTGAGTCCGAATGAATTTGCTTGTGCTGTCTGTTCCCAAGGGAAGCTAATAATCAGGCCATCTCCAACAAAGGTTGGATTTGAATCCCCAGCTTTTCTGGAAAGAATTCAGGGTGATATTTGTGGACCAATAGATCCACCGTGTCGACCCTTCAAGTACTTTATGGTACTAATTGACGCATCAACACGATGGTCACACGTATGTCTGTTATCTACTCGCAATCTAGCTTTCGCTAGACTACTTGCACAAATAATTAAATTGCGAGCACAATTTCCAGGTCACCCGATAAAGAAAATACGTCTAGATAATGCTGGAGAGTATTCATTACATACATTTGATGATTACTGCATGTCAATTGGGATTACTGTGGAACATCCTGTTCCCCATGTACATACGCAAAATGGCCTCGCTGAATCCCTTATCAAAATATTGCAATTAATTACTAGACTATTATTGATGAGGTCTAAACTTCCAGTATCATGTTGGGGACATGCTATATTACATGCAGCAGCCCTCGTGAAAATAAGGCCGACAAGTTATCACTGTTATTCCCCTACTCAATTGGTATCTGGAAAAATACCAAATATATCTCACCTGTGAATATTTGGGTGTGTTGTTTATGTGTCAATTGTGCCACCTCAACGCACGAAAATGGGACCTCAAAGAAAAAAAATATTGATAATGCATTTCCATATTATGTAGCACTCGATATAATGAAAGATGACGATGATTATGAACCAAAATCAGTTGATGAATGTCGTCAAAGAGATGATTGGGCAAAGTGGAAAGACGCAATTAAGTCTGAATTGGACTCATTGAATAAACGGCAAGTATTCGGACCCATAGTCCAAACACCTGAAAATGTAAAACCTGTTGACTACAGATGGGTGTTTGTGAGAAAAAGAAATGAAAATAATGATATCACAAGATGTAAAGCAAGACTTGTAGCCCAGGGTTTTTCCCAGAGACCAGGTATTGATTTTGAAGAAACATATTCTCTGGTCATGGATGGAATAACATTCAGGTATCTGGTGAGCCTGGCAGTACACAATAATCTTGATGTGCAATTAATGGATGTGGTTACTGCCTATCTTGATGGCTCCTTAGACAATGACGTCTACATGAAAATCCCAAGAGAGATTAAAATACCTTAATCATTTAAATCAAAGCCAAAAGAATCATATTCCATCAAATTACAAAAATCTTTGTATGGGCTCAAGCAATCGGGTCGAATGTGGTACAATCGTCTCAGCGAAAGCTTAACCAAAAAAGGTTATATAAATGACCCTATCTGTCCATGTGTTTTTATAAAGAAAAATTGGTCTAAATTTGTAATCATCATTGTATATGTCGATGATCTCAATTTGATTAGAACTCCTGATGAAATCCAAAAAGCTGTTGAATATCTGAAAAAGAAGTTTGAGATCAAAGATTTTGGAAAAACTAAATTTTGCCTTGGTCTGCAAATTGAGCATTTGGAAAGTGGAACATTTATCCACCAATCAAATTATACCAAAAGGGTACTAAAACAGTTCCTGATGGATAAATCACATTCACTAAGTACCCCAATGATCGTTAGAGCACTTGATCCAACAAAGGATCCTTTTAGACCAAAAGAGGAAAACGAAAAAACAATTGGCCCTGAAGTGCCGTATAGGAGTGCTATAAGCGCATTAATGTATCTTGCCAACAGCACCCGACATGATATATCATTTGCTGTAAATTTATTGGCAAGATTCAGTTCATCGCCTACTCGACGAAATTGGAATGGAATTAAGCACATTTTTCGCTATCTCCAAGGAACAATTGATCTCGGGTTATTTTACTCGAAAGATTCTCGACATGAATTGATTGGTTTTGCCGATGTAGGATATTTATCGGATCCCCATAAAGCCAAGTCACAAACTGGCTATATATTTACTTGTGGCGAAACAGTGATCTCTTGGAGATTGATGAAACAAACTTTAACTGCCACTTCTTCAAATCATGCTGAAATATTGGCAATACATGAAGCTAGTCGAGAATGTGTTTGGTTGAGGTCAATGACTCAACATATTCTAAAAAATTGTGGGTTAATACCTGACGATAAAATTTCCCCAACTACATTGTATGAAGATAATACAGCTTGTACAACACAATTAAAAGGGGGTTACATTAAAGGAGATATAACGAAACATATTTCAACAAAATTCTTTTTTACTCATGATCTGCAACAAAATGGTGAAAATTAATGTGCAACAAATTCGATCAGATAATAATTTGGCGGATATATTAACTAAGGCATTGCCGACAGCAACATTTGAAAGACTGGTGAAGAAAATTGGGATGCGTCGGTTAAGGGATCTCAAATAATGCTCAAATCAGGGGGAGCAAATCGATACAAGAATGTTGTACTATTTTTCCTTCACTAGAATTTTTTGTCCCATAGGGTTTTTTCCTAGTAAGGTTTTAACGAAGCACATTCTCTGTATAAAAGCATCCAAGAGGGAGTGTTATACACGTAGCACCCACGAGGGTGCTACGTAATCAATATGTATGCTTTTAATTTTCCTTCGTGTTGGGGTTTGTTCGCCTATAAATATGTCCGTGAATGAAATCGAATGAATACACTTTCACTTACTCCACAAAATCAACAACTCATTCGTTCTCCTCATTTCTCTGTCGTCAACAATATCATATATACATAAATTTATATATATATACATACATACATACATTATATAATATAATATATATATACTAGCCTACATACTACATGCATATATATATTTAGTTATATATATTATATACAGTATATAATATAATACAAATATAAAATAGTAGTTAGCGGTAGATATAATTAATATTTCTATTGGCTAATTCTATAATAATATTACAACAAAACCGAATTTTAAAGATTTACATTCGTATTATTATTTTGAAATGATTTTTAATAATAATAATAATAGGTGGTCCAAACGGCAAAAGAAAAGGCAGCACGTGATGAATGCCCCATGTGTGATGAAGACCGGAGGAAGTATCAATCAATCAGGGTTCTACGAAACCATAAGTTAGTTGAATGGAAACCTTCAAAATTGTTTATATAATGGAGAAATTTAAGGAGTTAATTAATAAAAATAAAGCAAAGGAAAAGTTGGTCCACGCGATTGGTTCACCAAAAGCACCGCTAACGTGGAAGCTAACTTCTTTCTTCAATTATGGGACCTACTACTTTGATTTTGACATGCATGTCCACCCTATTATTGACGTCAAATCAAATATAACTAACATCCTTTCAAAATGGTTACTCTTTCCTCCTTTCCACGTCAAATGTTCAATATTTTAATTTTATATACTACTTTGCTCCTATGACGTAATATTTGTCTTTTGTCTTATCGTAAAAATATCGTTATATTTATATTATAACAAATTAATAGATATATTTTTGTCATTTTCTTTTGATTTGGACTAAGTATTGATATAATAATTAATATTCAAATATCAAACAGGTAAAAAATTTATGGCTCTCTCCTTATGTGACCGAAATAGTATATTTTTTAAGTATATTCATTTATTATATAATAATAACAATAATAATTCATATCAATTTTCAGTTCTGAATGTCTTATTTATTTTTTAGGTGTTGATCTTTAAATATTAATTATTATATCAAAACATAATACAAATTAAGAAAAAATTACAAAAATACTTTCATTAGTGTCTTATAATAAAGATATTTGTAAAAAAATATATACAAATATAAGAATATTTTTAATGTTAAGTATAATGATATAAAATGTAAATGTGATATTTAAAGACGTGCAAAGGAATAATATATTTGAAAGCTAATTTTCTTAAAACTAAACTTATACTATAACATACTTATCATAAGATATTGAATTAAATTTATGCTTATATTATCTTCCGTTGATATTTTCTTTTGTAGATGTCCAAAATTTATTCCCGGATACCTAAGTATATAAAAATAAAATATTAGCCGAAGCGAATTATCAAATAAAACCAAATTAATAATAAATCAATAATTAGCACATATCAAAGCAAGTGCATAAATCTGAATTTGGAAATTGGGGAAAAAGAACCCAAACAAACACTCTGGAATGAATTGAAACAAATTGCATTGTTCCTTGTTCGTGTTACTCCAGATTCAATCGAGATCCAATTCGATTGTTGAGAACAACGATGACTTGGCGGTAGACTTCGGCTCCGGTCATCGTCTCCGGCAGCAGCTTCTCTCCGGCGAACCAGCATTCTGGCAGCGGTCGACAATGGCGATTTCCAGCATCCTCCAACAGCAGGCAGACTGAATCTCCGTCCATCTTCTCGGGTCATCCGACAACAGCTCCGGGAACCGATCGAACCGACGAACATCGATTTTCTTTCTCTCCATCTTCTCTGTAGCGTTAGGGGCGCGACGTTCTGCACAGTCCATGGTGCGATTGGTCTGACGTAACCACGCATCAAAGTGGAGATCAGCACTTCATTCTAAATCTCGACACCCACCGAAATCAGCCATCGGAAAACACTCAAGGATGGCTGCTCTCCGCAATGTCTCTCTTCCGTTCTCACCCTCTCTGGCTCACTCTCTCTAACGGTTTCAACTCTTTTAGAAAGGGATTCAAATTTTCTAACCTAAAACCCATAATAGATAGAGGGCTCCTTCACCCTTATAAGGTAAAGAAGTTCCCACATATTGATCAATGTGTCAATACTCTCCCAATATGATAATCTTAAAAATTCATATGGATCAATACCCAATACGGACGCTATGACTCTGATATCTATTCAGAAGGGATCCGATTTTTCAATTTAAAACCAATCGGTGATAAGTGAGTGGTCCTTCACCCTGATAAGGTAAGAGAATTCTCAGATATTTAGCAATGTGCAACACACTTTCTAGTTGAAAACAGCTCACACCCTTTAAGATCCATACGAGTTTAACTATCTAACAAACTAACCAAAATCACACTCACTAATTGAGTTTAGGGTAAATGGGTTTGGATTTGGGCTGATCCGATATGCCAAGGAGTGGACCAACTATTTTATTTACCCATGAATTAGTTTGATTAGACCTCGAACAATCAAAATTCTCAACAATAAATTTATTATAAATGCTAATTAATTTATTTTTATAAAAATATCATAAATTAAAATTTCACCTGCAATTAGTTCGTGTATAGTTAAATTAAACAAGAATTTTTAAACTTTCAAATAATATCTCAAATCAAATATTATTCTATTCTATTTCAAATCAACCTATATTTACTACGAGAGTGTTTGACAAATAGTTTTTGAAATTAATTATTGAATACAAAAAGTTAATTTTTTAAAAAAGTTATATAACTCAGCGTGTCAGAAGAGTTTTTTCAGTTCTATTTTCTTTATTTCTTATCTTCCTTTAAAAATTATTATTTATTTCATATACATAAAAATTATTTTGTATTGTATTTATTAATTATTCTAATATATTTTATTGCGAAATTATACTCTTATTTTTAATTTTAAAATAATTTATTTGTAAAATATATAAATTTGTTAAAATTAAAATATAACATAAAACATGAATATTATTAATTTAGTTTTATATATAATTTTATATGATAAAAATAAAATAAAATAAATTTATTGAATATTATAAATATAAATTAATTAATTAATTAATAATAATAAATAAATATATATAGACAAAGATTTAATTATTATATATTTTATATTATTCTCAATAAAAAATATTAATATATTTTAATAAAAATATTTTTTTTTTCAAATAGAAAAATAATAAAAATAAATTTTTAATAATACTTTCACAGTTTCCTATAACTAATAATAAATTTTTTAAAAAAATTTTTAAACCTAAAAGAACACAATTGAATATTTAAAAAAAAATTATAAATATCTACAATTATCAACGATTAATATTAAACAATTGATTTATCAAACAATTAGTAGTTGAGTTAGCTAGTCAAATAATCTATTTGAATTAGTTAACCTCTAATTAAATAAGCTAATACTTAAAAGCTATCGGCTAATTACTAAACATATTCTATTATATCTCTTCTTTTATCGTACTTATTATTTGTTTATTATTTATTGTATAATTTTAACGAATAGGATCGATACATTCTTGATATATATTTATTATCTAAAAATTTAATAATAAATTTGAACGTTAATATAAAAACATATGCACAATATATTTATTTTGCAAATATTTTACTTCGATTTAATCTTAATATAAATATTGAAAATATAAATTTTTTTATATTATATTTATAAAATACATTAATATAATATTCAATAACTATTTATTCTAATTAACAATATCAATACAAAATTAGTAACATGATATATTTGATCAAAACAAAGAGTATATGCATATATAACTATAATATAATTAATTTTGAGGTATTAATAAAGTGCAATTAACACAAATTAATTTATTTAAAAGTTATTTATTTATTTTTTTGAAAACTGATATAATTATCGCAAGAATATATATATATATATATATATGAATTATCAAAATATTCTATAATTAATGTTGAGTCGAGGATAAAACCTCATCCTATAAAACGAATACATCACAGTAATATTTTCTATTTGTGGTATAACATTGTTAAAATAAAATAACATGGTTCATCTACGAATAAGGTAGAACAAATCATTATTAATAGTATATTAATGTATTTTACAAATATAATATTAAGAAATTTATATTTCCAATATTTATATTTAAAAAAATCAAAGTAAAATATTTCCAAAGTAAATATATTATGCATATATTTTTATATTAATGTTAAAATTTATTATTAGGTTTTTAGAAAATAAATACTCCCTCCGTCCCATAAGTAAATATCCATTTACTTTTTACATGTTGATTTTTTAATATTAATTATTATATCAAAACGTATTACAAATCAAGAAAAAATTGCAAAAATATTTCTATTAGTATCTTATAATACTAATATAGTAGCATTTGTATAAAAAATTTATACAAATATAAAAATATTTTTAATATTAAGTACAATGACACAAAAAGTAAATAGATACGTTGTTATGGGACGGAGGAAGTATATAACAAAGAAGCTACAAATCTTATTCATTGAAATTACACAATAAATAATAAAATATAATAAGCATAATAAAAGAGATATAATAAGTGTAGGTTGATTTGAACAGAATAGATCTAATAATACTTAGATTTGAGATATTATTTGAAAGTTTAGCAACTCTCGCGTAGTTAAAATATAGACGAACTGCGGGTGAAATCATAATTTATGATATTTTGTGTAAAAATAAATTAATTACTCTATCCGTCCCATATATAATGTCATATTTTTTATTTTGCTAGTCTCGCATATTATGCCATTTTTATTTTTTGAAAAAATATTATACATTTTAATCATATTTTAAATTTTATAATTTATAAATTTTTTAAAAATTTTTTTAGTAAACTAATTAGTTATCTTAACTTTAATTTATAATTATTTGTATTACATTGTAATTAGACTTACTAATATATTCTTAATTATTCATTAATCATACTCATCGTAAATTCTGTGTCTACAGTAACACTGACACAATATATGAGACGGAGTGATTAGTATTTAAAAATCAACCTACAAATATAAATATAAATATAAATATAAATAATACACATGTTCACCTAGTGTGACTTTCCCGTCGAACCTGGTTTGTAGGGTATTAGGTTCAGTCGGGGGTTTACCCAGTGCGTACTTTCAGGTAGCGACTGCGAATTCCCACGTCATAAAAAAAAATAAATACAGTTAATTCAATTTCTTCCACTAAATATGTTATATAAGTTTAGTTTAAAAATTTATCTTTGAAGATGCTCGTATAGTCCTAAAATTATAAAAAAAAATTAGGATCATTCAGAATTTATATTGGTCATCCAATCATTTTGATTGTTAACCCAACAATTGATTTTAATCAAGGTTATTTTGTGTATTAAAAAAAAACAATTAATTTTTATTCTTGTATTGCACTTATTTTTTCCTCGGTGATCATGTTGAATAGTTGTTAGCTGTTAGCTGATTCGATTAGCTGTTAGCTGTTAGCTGATTTGATTAGCCGGTTTGACTAACTGATTTGATTAGCTGTTTGTATTAAAGTATTTGATAAAATAGCGATTTGATATTAGTTGTTTATACTTAAAATGACCATTAAGAACATTTTATATTTTATTTTCAAAATATTTAGTTTGTTTTTCAGTGGGTAGAATTAAAAAATTTATTATTAATTTTAAAAATTAAAAAAAAATTATTAAAATATTTATTTTTAAAATATTTTATAAAAGATTAATGCAAGCTTATTGAAAAATATATATTTTTTTCATTAAAAATAGTATAAATATAAAAGAATAAAAATCATTAGTATATATATTTTTATTAATTTAATTTAGTTAATAAGTATTAAAATTTATAATTTTAAATAAATATATTCATTTTAATAAAAATATTATGTGATATAAAATACTATATAAATTAATCAATAATATTAATATTTTTATATTACATGTATTCTAAAAAATTTAAACAAATTTATAAATAAAATAATTGACATATAAAAGAATAATTATTTTAAATTTATAAACATAAATTTATAAATTATTAGAAGAAAATATATTGAAAGATTTAATAAATAGTGTAATAAAAAAATATTAATATATGTGAAAAATTAATTAATTTTAAGGGCAAATAAAGAATATAAAAATTAATTTGAAATGCTGGAGTATACAGTTTTTCAAAATTAGTTTTTTTTTTTACTCAATAAATTAATTGAAAACGCTAATTTACCGAACAACAAAATTAACTAGTTTACTAGTCAAACAACTAAAAGGTCTTTGATAAGCTAAAACTTTTGAAAAAATTGTTTACCAAACACCCTCTAATTTATATGAATAAAACTGTCTAAATATTCTAATTTATTTTACAAAATAATATTCATAGCCGAGTTTACCCCACCCCATCACACAATCCATTGCATGGCAAACATGCGTTCATTTTATACATATTATATGTTGATAATGTTTGTATTAAGTGTTATTTTTATATATAAAAATAAACAATATTGGTATAAAATATAATTGAATTAAAATTATTTTATTAATTTCAAAATTTGCATCAAAATTGATTAAGAAACAATATAAAAATGAAAGGGAAAAAAAATGCATAATTGATTGAAGAAAAATCAAAGAAATCGGAGAAAAAACTGTTGATTTCATCCGTAAAAAAAATAAAAAATAAAAAATATGAAGAAAGACACATTGCAGTGCAGAACAAAGAAG